AAAAAAAGATATTTTAGATCACCAAATTTTTTAGAATGCATCTCATATTTTGATTTCTCAACAAAGTAAAATAAGGTAGGGGAAAAAAGTTCGCGGCAATTTTCCTATCGATATAAATAGAAAAATTTCTGAGAACCTTTTTCAATAAATTATATTACAAGGTGCAGCGTAAAAAGCTCTACTCTTTACATTAGACCGCTTATTTTATAGTTGCATTTTTTGTTTTTAAATAGATAAAATTTTGAGCGATCAAATTTCGACCATGAGAAAACGATATTTTCTTTGGTACAAGATTAATTCGCTTCTTCTTATTTTATATTTTTATAATTATTCTTTGTAAATCGTAGAGCTTTTCACGCTACATCTTGGGGTATATTTTATTTTTTTTTAAATAAAGGATATCAAGTGCTAAATACGAAAAAATACATTCCTTGTGTGCTAAAAAAAACTTTTTCGCAGCGTCGAAATTTAGTCGCTCGGAATTTTGTCAATTTTGAAAAAAAAGTACAACTGTAAAACAAGATATTCTATGTAAATTGTAGAGATTTTTACGCTGTGTCTTGTGGTATAGTTTATTGAAAAAAGTTCTTAGAAATTTTTCTATTATATCGATAGGAAAATTGGAGTGAACTTTTTTCCCATATATTAAGATACTCGCAATGCGAATTTTCAGTAAAAATTGTTTTTCTGCTTTTTTTTACATCATTTGATAGAGCTTCAGCTGCTGATCACGAAAAACTACTTTTTAGCCTTAGTAAATGCTTCTTTCCGGTCGAAAACTGCAAAATACTCGAAAGATGTCGTTTTTAGAGAAAATGACATCCTTTCTCGAAATGTGCTAAATTTTCTATTTTGCTCTTTTTCTGCCTTCTGAAAATAATTTTTCCAGATTTAGCATCAAAAACTGAGTAGAAATAAGTTGTTAAATCGACTCAAGATCCAAAACTCTATTAGTGGTGGCACTTCAAATCACGTCGAGTGTACCACGTATACGTCAGTTTTCTAAACCTATCTAGTTTTTCTACGTAAGCGATGGAGCAAAATGTTTTGTCTCATTCTATTTATCATATCACCTCTCAACACCCCTACTATCGTTTTTTTTTCTTTCCTTTCCTGTGTTGAGAAAAATCGGTTTTACTGGAAGCAGAGCCATTTTGCCAGTATTCAACGGTTTTCGGATTGAAATAGGACTTATAACCACAAACCAATTACAGATTTGGAATCAACACAAAGCACTGAGTGAAATGAAGTATCTTTTGAGTTAATTTCACCACTTTCATTTTTTCTGATTTTTTTCAGATATCATCGGAGAACTGAAATTACTGTATACGTGTCGGAAAATGAAAGTTGTAAAATTAACTCAAAAGATACTTCATTTCACTCAGTGCTTTGTGCTGATTCCAAATCTGTAATTGGTTTGTGGTTATAAGTCCTATTTCAATCCGAAAACCGTTGAATACTGGCTAAAATGGCTCTGGTTCCAGTAAAACCAATTTTTTTCAACACAGGAAAGAAATGAAAAAAAACCGATAGTAGGGATATTGAGGGGTGGTATGATAAATAGAATGAAACAAAATATTTTGCTTCATCGCTTACGTAGAAAAACTAGATAGGTTTAGAAAACTGACGTATACATGGTACACTCGACGTGATTTGAAGTGCCACCACTAATAGAGTTTTGGATCTTGAGTCGATTTAACAACTTATTTCTACTCAGTTTTTGATGCTAAATCTGAAAAAATTATTTTCAGAAGGCAGAAAAAAGAGCAAAATAGAAAATTTAGCACATGTCGAGAAAGGATGTCATTTTCTCTAAAAACGAAATCTTTCGAGTATTTCGTAGTTTTCGACCGGAAAGAAGCATTTGCTAAGGCTAAAAGGTAGTTTTTCGTGATCAGCAGCTCAAGCTCTATCAAATGATGTAAAGAAAAGGAGAAAAACAATTTTTACTGAAAATTCGCATTGCCGGCACCTTACAATGTACAAAATAAACAATATTCATTGACATATTAACAAAGTAAACAATATTCTTATTTTTATTAATAGATATTTACGAATTTAAAGCTGTGCTAACTTTCTTGGAAGGGTGTAGGTGAGGAGAAGACCTACTCACATGCACACCCACACTCTCTCTATAAAATTTGGTGATCAAAAGCATCTTTTTTTTGATGATCAAAAATACAATTACTCTAAGAAAAATGAATAGATTTGAGAAGAAGAGACATGAAACGTACAGATGTTACAAACGAAGGTGCGCCGACGCTTCGCACTGCCGACCTAAAACATAGCTGCACTTTAGTACGTTCACTGGCGTTTTGCGATATTGTCATTGGTCTAGTACTGGAACCACAGAGTATCAAGGTACCCTGACAATACCACGTCCTTCAGCTCTTGCCTCTCTGTTCATTCGTCACTTCAATCAGAATCATTTACCATCCGTTGCTGTTAAATCGTATTGTCAAGTGATGGTACATGATGTTGAATTGCTGTTAGATCTGACAAGATTCGCCTTTCCATCCGAATATGCAAGGATTCGTTAGCCAGGGTCGATGTGTAGCGGCAAACTGGATGAGTAGCTTACCGTCACCCTCGGTAATGATGTTTATTAGCTACTTCACATATCCAGAGTGTGTCTACATCACATAAAACACACGCTTATATAGGAGGGAGTAATAGAGAGAAATTAACACAAGAAAAGAAATAGAAATAAGATAAAGAGGAAAGGGAGATCAGTGAAAAGTGATATCAATATAGACACAATCAGACCAAATGTCTTATCCGATTCGAATCAGTCTATTCTGAGCCAAAAGATTACTCATTTAGTTTTTTTTCTGACTTTGGTCTATGAAATGAGCAAAGTTAACATTGCCTAGGTTTGATAGTACAAGGGTCAATAATAGTGTTGCTTATTGCAGGTTTTATTATCAAAATTCAGATGAAAAAGAAATAAACAGTAAATTTAGAATCAGCATCGAAACCTACATTGGACCACATATATTCTGGCAAAACCAACTTACCATGGAAAACCCACTTGTACTCTCTCTCACTATTTTCTTCTGCTGAAATTTTGCTTGTAGTCTTCCTGGAGTAGTTTTTATTTGAAATTGATTTTGCCAGAATGCATGTGGTCCAATGTAGGTTTCGATGCGGATTCTAAATATATGCTGTTTATTATTTTTTTCAGCTGAATTTTGATAATTAATACTGCCATAAAGACTATTATTGATCCTCTTACTACCAAAGATTGGCAATGTTGACTGTGCTCATTTCATAAAACTAAATGAGTACTTTTGTAGCTCTAAATAGACTGATTCTAATCATAGAAGACGTTCGGTCTGATGTTCTCTTACAAAAAACTAGATAGATTTATAAAAGTCTCTCCAAACAAATTTTATAAGTCTACATCTATTGAAAGTTGTCTTTTACGTTATTTATTTGAAACCTAAGAAAATTTTGATACATACATATATTTTCTATCCTGTTGTATTTATTGCATAACATGCCCATGAAAATGTGTCCAACAACGGAGCTACCAAAACTGTTCTCTCGACTTTGAAATCATACTTTGAGCATAAGTACACATTAAGATGACTACCAAAAGCCTAGAAGAATTCGTGCTCATGGGATCCATGGGCCAAGAATTACAACTGTTGGATTAAATTTTCGGTCTAAGATATCATATCTAGAAAAAAAAACTCAAATGACGCTTCTTTAATCTAACATTCTGTTCATTGATAAATCTAAAGATTCTGAGCATGTACTTTAATTTGTTAGTCAAAGCAGATGATTCACCCTCAAGATAATAAGTTTTCCGAACAGCTATGTTATTGTGATGAGTCTATTATACGACAACATCCTTTGAAAATTCCATATCATAAGGATAAAACATTTGGGCGAAAATTTTTGTGCATGCTAAAAATCACTAGATTTATTCGTAAGCAGAATTTCAGTTCAAATTATCTTCATCTGAGTTTACTGTAGATGCTGTACATTTAGTTGGAAATTTAGTATTAAAACGGTAGAGGATGTGAATGATCGCCAATGAAGAGAAGGTTTCACCTACACTTACACCATAGTCCTGAACGCGAAACAATGATTATAGGAGAAAGAAGAAAAATCACGACTTGCATCCATCAACTCCTTCAATTTAAGACCTTGTTTAACAACCGAAATGTTTCATTTAGTCCTATGAATATTTCTGAGAGATAGCTCTTTATATGTGTATTCAATGCATGACAAAGGGTAAATTGTAATGATCCAGAATGAACAAAAATGAACACCGATAGACGTCAAAAAAAAAAACAAAAGTTTTACTTTCTTTATTGTTTTTCTCAAAATAAATATTTGAGCAAAGATATTGAAGCTTTTCCACTTTTCAATCACATGTTAGAACCGATCGGGATCAAGATTTTTTATAGATACTTTTATGAAATTCGGCAAGAAGAGTGTGACAACCTCCAGAAAATAGTATCATCAAAAGAAACCTACGTTTTTTCTATGTTGCCACGAATATTTTGTTTCTTCTAAGTTCTACGAATGATATTTTTCAAAAAAAAGGCACTGCTATTCGTCCTAGTTGCCTCAAGAAACATTGAAGCTCAAAAAATAGTTTCAATTCTTGCGTGAAGAAAAGCTTCTAACCACTTTTGACTCTTGGCATTTCTATATTTGACGATTCAGAATCTAGGATAATGTTTGCTCTATTCATCGAGATATATTTATTCTGAAAATTTCATAACTTTTCGTCGAGATATTCTCGAGAGTTTCTGAAAAAGTGGAATCCCTTAAAGAAACTTGAAAGACTACTGAAATTGAACAAAAGTTACACAGATTTATATTATGTATTTTAAATTTTTCATAGTTGTATTATTTAGTGCCCAAGTCTACCAGTTAGTGATCATCGATCTACTACATTTTTGAAGTTAGTCATTGAAATTCATGACATAGCTCAAATAATACTAACATCTACTGTTGTTTTTTTTCGCACAAATACAATTACAATGATATTCGCTTCGATATGGAAATATACCAATAAAAGCAATAATGTAAATAGTGAAAATCTTCGCTCAAAAATACCTTCAAACAATAAACTCAAATGGCTGTTATTGATTTTTTTGTTGGTTCTAATCGTTTCACTTAGTCTCAAAACATCCGAGAGGATATATTTTAAAAAATCAAATTTGCAGTTTCCTCATAAGTCGCAAATAAATTTACTAGATGGTTGTCAATACGTTTACATCGATATAGGAACAAATATTGGAATACAAATTCGAAAGCTCTATGAACCACATTTATATCCAAATGCACCTGTTCTAGCATTTTTTAAAGAAATTTTTGGAAATCATTCAAATGAAGTATGTTCTGTCGGCTTCGAAGCTAATCCTTTACATGATAATTATTTGAAAGAATTTGAAAATTATTGTTTAAAACGAAATTGGCGTGTAAAAATTTTTACGTCGACTGCTGTTAGTATTATTGAAAAAAATCTCACATTTTTTATCGAACCAGGAAACGACGCAAATAATCAATGGGGTGCAAGCTTAAACGCGGACGGAAAGAAAGCAAGCATCACTGTACCAAGTATTGATATCGTATCTTGGTTTAAAGGAACAGTATTAAATCGAACAATACTTCCTGGACTTGCTTCATCAAAAATTATGATGAAAACTGATATTGAAGGACATGATACAGTTGTCCTAGCAAATCTCATACTCAATGGAGTTTATTGCTCGATCGATCTTATTTATGGTGAGCATTTTGACAATAAATTTCAAAATGCAATTTCCCTGTTACAACAATATTCCAGTTCGTGCAAAACTAAATTAATTTATATAGACGATGAATCATATTATACTGCAAGATTTCCTTTTATTATACATAATTCAACTAACTGAATTTTGCTGATTTGATGAAATTATTAATGGCTATAAGTAAATCACTGGCCGGATTAACTAAAACAAATAATGGCGGACAAAACTTTAAGGCAGTTGAAATTTTTGAGCGTTCTTATTGCGGATAATGGCTAGAAAGAATCTGAAAAACACAACGTTTGAGTAACTGAAATGATTCTCTGTCAAGATTAGTAAACCGAAAAACTCCAATTAAACTACTTCGATGAGAATATCTGGAAAACTAAGACCGTCAAAACAAGTTTTCTGGCATTCATTTGCAACTTTTTGGAAATGTTTGTGTTTGATAAAACAAATAGTCCTAAACAATATGAGAGGTCTCACCTCTTTTCATGACCTTCCTTTAATGAACTCCACTCAATTTATAAAAGGTCCCAAAGCGCCAAACATGGAAAAATCATGGAAATTTTTCATAAAAATAAAACAAAAAATGTTTCTTGGATCTTCTGTAAATTGAATGCAGTTCGATGAAAGAACGCCATGGTGAGAGTCGAGGCAGCTCATTTCACTCAGAACTATGTTCTCTATCAAACACACATTTTCAAAAAGCTTCAAATGACTGTCAGAAAACTAGTTTTAAAGGTCTTAACTTTCCAGACATCCTCATTCAAGCATTTTCATTGGAGTATTTAGGTACACTGATTCTGATAGAAAATCTTTTAAGCCACTAAGATGTTTTTTTTTAGATTCTTCTTAGCTATTATTACCAAAGAGAAGAAAACTCATAAAAGCAACTATTCTAAATTTTTGCCCATTATTTGTTTTAGTTAATCCGGCCAGTGATTTACTTATAGCCATTAATAATTTCATCAAATCAGCAAAATTCAGTTATTTGAATTATGTATATT